GAGAATCAGAGGTAAGTAATATTGTTTTCTTTTTAAAAATATTATATAAAAATTTTAAATTTTACTTACCTCTCTCTCTCTTTGTAATTGCCGAAGCCCTTCGAAATTCTGAGATAGGCTAAATGATGAACATGGATGACTGATTTTGATTGGTCTGAAGTTTTGACTAAGTTTAGGCGTTTTGACGTCTATTTAAACCAGCTGAAACCTGTCAAAACGTTTAGACTTTCGACGAATTTAGTTTTGACTTTCGACATTAGCCTATTATAGTTTCATCCTGCAACTATAAAATATCCTTCTCTGCATTTTGACATAATGTGCAATATAGAAACAAAATTTGTATTTTAATTTAAGGCTTTCCAAAGGTTCTACCAATTTGTTATCATGTTTATACTAATAACAAGTATTACCTTTAGTATTATTTTTTTAACATGAATAATATGCTAATTCCATTAGTATTTCACAACAAATTTTTTCTCATACAAAAACTTTATTATATAGAATATTATCTTCTGATACAAACAGCGACAAATAACTGTAGTCTCAATCATCTATGGCAATTTAGCATACTATCTTATTTTCTGCTGATAATGCATGCTCACTGTAAAAACAACGCATCTTTCCACATTAAAAATATTAAATAAACTAGCGAATATGTATATTAGTAAAAATGGATGATGATATGTATTCACTATTCGCCATTGTTATTATAAGTATTAGACGATGTTATTCTATTATTCCTAACTGATATGCTATTTGAAAGTTAGCATAATAATTTCTTTCCACTATAATTAATAAAAATTTTATTCATTAAAAATTTTATATATTACAATATAAGTCTTATAAATGCATCTGTAGAAAGAATAGGATCTGGTAACCATCTGGAAGCTGAACAGATTGACAAATAGTATATGATAGTTGGCCACATTTTTTTATCTATTTTTTTTTAAAAAAAATGAGAATTTACTTTAAATAATTGTTTTAAAATATATATTTAACAAAATTACCTTAAAAATATATCGGTGTTGCTTATAATGTGTTCACATAAATTGTTGTAATTGTGTTTTTTTGATAAAATATTACTTATTATTTCTGAAATCTTTAAGGTTCGATCAATTAATAAAATTGTTTAAAAAACAGTATATGTTAATTAGAATAAATGTTAATAAATTTTAGTATTGATACTTATAACATACTTACGTTAAAAAATTCATTAATCGCAATTTCATCTGCTGGACTATAGCATTAAAATGTTTCATCATGTAAAACTAATCTTTCTGTACATTCCTCTAATAACTGTTATGCACGTGTTATATATTTACATAAATCACTCTGTAAAGTTTCATTTGTTTTAGCAACAGTACAAATTTTATCTAATGTATCCAATTTAGCAAATGCAATTTCTGATTCCAGATTTATTGCATCTCTTACTAATGCTATATCTTATAATTCTAAATTTAATATAGACATAATCATTTCTGTGAAATTGGTCCAACTATGATGAGATGCTGTACACATAGCAATGAGCATATCAAAATCTTCACGTAAAAAAAGACAAATAAGAGAAATTTGAACTGAACCAAATATTGTGCAATGATCTGGACTACTATCAGTATAAAAACAAAGAATTAGAGGAATATTGTTAAGGTGATGAGTAGAAATTGCATTATAAAACTCAATAGTATATTTAATAACACTACTAGGTTGAAATACTGTGTCTTTAAATAAAACAAATACCTTTTCACTTTAAAAAGAATTTTTAATAGATTGGGAAATATTACAAAAGAATATTACAGAGGGTGTAAGGGACAACTTTGTAAAATCATGATCACATGTAACTAAAGGAGTTTCCTTAAAAACCATAGTTTTTCTATTGTGAACACCAGTAGAAGTATTGATATTTAAAAACACAATCTGCGCTTAAGGTATTTTATTAATATTTTTTATATTAAATATATTTATTTAATTTAATATGTAAATGTAAAATTAATTTTTATTATTTATAGTTTCTTTCAGCAAAATTTAATAAAGGTTATAAGAAATAATGATATTTCAAGTATACTAGCAAATAAAAAGTCAACTGATCGAAGTGGTAATAGAAAACTTCCTAATTATATTACTGATATTATCAATGATTTAGAATTTTGAGCTATATTATTTGAATTGCAAAATTTATTATATCCACTTTGTAGATTTCTTAATAAATTACAAAAGAATACTGCATAACTTTATGAAGTTTTATACTGCTTTACTTATACTACTAAAATTTTAAATAATCATCACAACTTTGAATTTGGTTTAAAAATGGTAGCAAGAATAGAATCTTATGAGAGGTAATAGGAATAACCACTTTTAATTCTTTTCTTTATACTTCACCTATTTCATAAATTACAAAAATTTTGTTTAATAACTTAAAATTTAACTTGGACTCATATTAGACAATGATTGAAATATTATTATGAATAATAAATTAATTCTAAACCAGTTTCAATTTTAGCTGAATTGATTAAATATAAAAAAGAGGAAGATTCATATAATATGGATTCTTTTAATAAATTTAAAAATAATTTGGTAGATTTTTTGGAATCAATAAGTGGTATAGGTTCTGAATTAGCTTGTATTGCAACTTATATTCATTGAATTTGTGTTAATTCTACTTCAGTAAAATGATTATGATTAAATATGAATTATTTACATACTGATAGATAGAATCAATTACAGGTGATATATTTTTTATTAATTTTAAATTTATATTAATTATTTATTTTAATACTAATTTTTTAAAAAAATATAATAAAAAAAGTTTTATATACTCGTAAATTTAAGAAACTAGAAATTGTGAACAAGAAATATTAAGACTTTATATAGCTATACCAATTTGTTCTGATAATAAAATTGATGAAACTGAAAAATATAAATTAGATAATAAAGAAATGTACATACAAGTAAGTGATGATGATATGATTAGTAATAAAAAATTGATAATGAAATTAAAATTAATAATGATAATAATGAAGATAAGATTATTAGAAATAATGAACAAAAGTGGAATCAAATAATTAAAAATAGATAGAACTAGGAAATCATGAAAATCAATTTGAAAATCATGATGATGAAATTTTTTTATTGGAAGAATAGAATAGTGATTTTAATTTAGAAGGTTGTGAAATACATCCAACTGATGATAAAACAGCTAAATGGATTTTAAATTCTTTATTTGAATGTTTTTTAGAATCACCTTCATTTTTAGGTTTAGATGAAATATTTACTGATACATAAAGATTATTATAAAATAATAAAGTTTTTTTACATATATTATAATATAATTAATTTTAAAGTTTTATGTAAATGTACAATTAAATATTGATTTAATAATTTTTATTTAAAAATCATAATCTCCAATCTATAATTTAATATTATTATTTAATTGGTTGATTATAAAATTAAAGTCATATAATCAAATATACTAAAAATGACCAAATAACCTATGACTGGTTATATTGGTCATATAGATCATAATTAAAGATTATGTAGCAATTAATTTCAAATTTACAACTTGTTGTAAATTAGTTGCAATATATATAAGTTAAAACTAATTGCAACATACGTTGCAACATTAAAAGTTGCAACGTATTAATTACAGTTCTCATCTTTAGTCATAATCCAACACTGTAGCAGATAGTGTTGAAAGACTTTCAGATACAAGCTACAGTGAGACCTCTCTAAATGCACCCCCCTTGGGACCATAGTGAAAATTTGAAAAAATGTGCATTTAAGGAGGGTGTGCATTTAAAGAGAGAAATTTTGTATAATCTTTATATACTTGGGGCTGTGTGGAATGTGCATTTATAGAAAAAATATACATACAGTCAAACCTCTATATAACGATATGTCGGGACATATATAGTTTTTTTTGATACTTTTTGAAATTTTTTCATGAGGATAATAAATTTATACTGTAATTTAAAATAAAAGCATTTATATTAAATTTCTTTGCGAATAAATTAATATTGATATAAAGTGGTGTGCAAAAAAAAATGAACTTGGTTAGAATTACACAAATAATTATGCAAAAAAAAGCCTGACAATCACTCTATCACCTTCTAGCGAAACCTTTCTTAAAAATTATATTTTATCAAATATCAAAATGACCGCATCAAAGCAAGAAACACAACGACAGGCCATATTACATTTCTGGAAACAAGGAGTACGACATGCGATTGAAATAGAAAGATTGACAAAGATTCCAATTAGTACTGTCCGCCAAAACCTTAATAAGATCCAAGATACTGGAGATATAAAGCATAAAGGTGGTAATGGGCGTATTAAAAAAAATAATGATAAATGCATCTTGGGCAATTGGACAATACATTCGAAGGCAACCTTCAGTTTCTGCTAAGTCTGTTGCTGATAAATTAAAAGATATAGGAGTAGATATCTCCCGCTCAACTGTTTCAAGGCATTTGACTGACCTTGGATACCGAAATGCACTTCTCCTTTGTACACCAATGTTAACCCAGTCAATAAGCAAAAACGAGTTGAATGGGCTCAAAATCACAAGGATGATAATTGGAAAACAACCCTATTTAGTGACGAAACATCTTTCCAATTATTTCGTAACACGATAAATCATTGGTATAAAAATGCAAGGCCAATTCGTCTAATACCAAAGGACCGAAGTAAAATATTCGCTTGGGGTGGTTTTTGCATAAAGGGTACCACCAGTCTTTTTTTGTTTTAAGCGCATAATGAATGGAAAATTCTATACAGAAATATTGGAAAGACATCTCCCGGAAGTGCGCAGTATGTTACGAAGTAATTGGCGGCTGCAACAAGACAATGATCCTAAGCATACTAGCAAAGTAGCTAAGAAATTCTTGCTAGAGAAAGTCCCAGCCGTTATGGATTGGCCTTCTAATAGTCCGGATCTAAATCCCATTGAAAACCTTTGGGCAATCGTTAAAAGGGATGTGGAGTTGCGTAAGCCAAAGAATTAGAGCGTTTTTTGGGGGAGGAGTAGGGAAATATTCCAAATAGCCTTATAGTTAATCTTGTTAACTCAATGCCACGGCGTTGTAGGGAAGTTATTGAAAAAAATGGTGAACGAATGTATTGATTTTTTTTTAATAAAATCTGCTGCGTCACAGCTTTAAAATGACGTATTATACATTTGAATTGATGCAACACCACTGTATATGACATTTGTAGAACATTTCTGTAACACAAATGATATATATAAATTAAATTATTTTAATACACAAATCTCATCTAAAAAAAAAAAAAAAAAATATGCATTTTCGTATTCTAAGACAAGCAAGAGTTCGTCGCGACATAAAAACTCGCGAAACAGTCGCAGCCACTGAATTAATTCGACAAGCTTATCGTTATATCACACGTAACGAACAAATTCATTCAAGAGTTAGACAACAAGCTCAACTAATGCTAAACGCTTTACCTCGTGAAACACGTCCTACAACTATCAGAAATCGTTGTACTGAAACTGGTCGAGCTCGAGGTGTCTTTAGAGATTCAAGACTTTGTCGATATCAATTTAGATTAAAAGCTTTGAATGGAGAGATACCTGGAGTTAAAAAGGCTGTTTGGTGAAAGGTTAAGAAATTCATTCTTACTATGTACAATGATATCATGTAATAAACATTCTCTTCTTTGTATAAATATGCCTACTTCTTACTTTCTTTATATATTATTTATTATATTCTCTATCATTAAATTTTTTAGATGATAAGTTAAGCAATGTTTTTCATAAAATAAAACTACAAAAAATTGAAAAATGAAATATCAATAACTTGACGAATAAATTTCAATGAAAATACATATACACGTCGATTCGTTGTTTTCATCCTCAATTTTCGGTACTGAAATTATGAGTGGAAAGGTGTAGGAAGCAAAAACATATCATGGCTGTAAAAAAAAAAAAAATTAGATAATCCCGCCCAAAATTTTAAATTTAAACATAATTCTTACCAGAATTGAAACACCTCAATTTCATTATCAATGTCAGGAAGAATAATTAAATAAATTATCTTTCGGCGAAAGACAAAGACATGGCACGCACGTTCTAATTTACAGATATATCAGGTATAAAAGCTTTTCATCTATAAGCCACGATCGTCATACGCGTGTACAAGGTCTAATGAAGGGTGTCGTTTCACCAGGTGTCTCCTTCACCGAAATTCTATGTCCCAAACTAAACTCTTGGTTCACTAGTTTCACGATTCACCACGACGCCCACCAATACCACATATTAATAATTATGTTCGGATCCTAAAAATTCAACATACGGTAGTTAAATGCTTGTCCTGTAAAGATTGAAGTTCCAGGGTTTGCTGTAAAAATAGATGTTTGGAGATGTTGAACCAACGTCTTGTTACTGTGAAGTCGCATGGTTATGGTTCGAGTCGGAGGAGGATGGCAAAACTTTCAAAGTAAGTTTCATAGATTCGATTTATTACCTGTCAAAAGGATTTATGTGATTTTGTTTCGTTTCTACGTATTCTTGAACATTTTCTAATGATATTTTTTTTCGCCGCTTAATAATTTTTAAAAGATTCCTAATTGGTATGAACATTGTTGAAATATGATATAAACACGCCCTACTCAGGAAATATTATATAGCATATATGGTAATTTTTAATATTTTTAAACTCATTGGAAATTCACGATATTTATTGAAAAAATTTATGTTTACTACATATGACGATATGATGTAACTCGCTAACCTGGAACAAACCAAAGCTCGATCTTCTGTCGGATTTGACGAAACAGACTCAACAGTTGGAGGAAACGAAGCCAATGGTAGTTCCAGTTTCAATGATGCGAACATAGAAAATGAAATGATAGTTCACATGGCTTTAACAACTTAACGAAAACACAAATCATTTGACGAATGAGAAAGGTCTCATACGATATTTTATTTCTTTCGGAAAATTCATTATAAAACTAGAAAACATTTAGGGACTGGATTACTGACTTTACTAAAATGGTAGAATTTAAAGTTAGGCCCGGATGGAGTGCTGTAAAAGATTAGTATGGAAACATGTGATTTCAAAAAGCGATGAGGAACATATTTGATTGAGAGAGCTTTTAAGTGGAAGTGATTTTAACATGACAGTTGAGGAATTCGAGCTATTACTACGTGAACAGACAAATAGCAAAGAAGCTAATAAAGAACTTGAAGAACTTTCTAGTGAGTTAAAGGGCCGGGAAAACTTTTTTATGCTTTTAAAATTTGTTATAATAGTCAATAACAAAATCATTGTCGCACGGGATATCAATACTTTGGTATCAGATTTGCCAGATTGTAAAAAAAAAAAATAATAATAATTTTTTCATTCGATCATTGTATGTGCAAAGTTTTTTTTTTTTTTATAAAAGGAAGAAATGATAATTGAATTGTCTTGTAAAATTGATAATACAAATTTTTTCAACTAAAATTAATCCATCCATTCGAGTATAGATAGTTTAATGTTATTTTTGTCAACAAGGTTTTGAAAATTCTCTGTCATTGGGTCAAGGACAAGTTTTGATAACATATTGGCTGACATATATAATGGCTAGTTTGGAAGAAATTTAAAGAAACTGATCAGAAATTTTACCAAAATTATCAGATCTTATTAAGTCAATATATATTTTGGCTTAATGTTGAATTTGGATTAGTACTAACTTTTTGACTGAACAATACATAGTATTGATGCAATTTGTAATCTTCTAAGAGACATTTGATTCAAACATAAAAATTTATTAATTCTTCTTAGAATGATACTTAGCCCAAATGAATGAGTTTATACTAATTGTTGATGAATTAGAGTCACTTCTTAAATCAAATATCTAAATATCAAGAAAGAAGAATTATTCATATAGCATTAAACCTTATTTTATGTGATATTCCTACAGTAAGAAAAATTTGCAGTTATATTTTGGTATTAGTATCATGTCATAAGTGTGAAAAAAAGGTAAATTATGAAAATCAGCAACATAATTTTGCTAAAATAAATAATATAAATAAAATAGTTACTTTTTAGAATTCATTTTAACATCAAAAGAATACATTTGGGTTAATGAAGATATGATTTGTAAAGCATACTTTATCTGCATTAGATGGTCTAAGTTATTTTGTTACCATATTTTGATCCAATTTGATTTTTAATAATTAATCTAATGCATCGCCTATTTTTAGGTATAGAAAAATGGATAATTAAAAAAATTTGAATTAATAAAAAGGTTTTAATATAAAATGCTCTTAAAAGTATTAAAAGAAACATAAATTAAATTCAAATTTTAGCTGATTTGGCTAAAATTTCTCAAAAAGTTGATTATAAAAAGAATTTATTTTACAATTTATGTAACTATTTCATATTGAAAATATTTATTAGTAATTGATTGAATAATTTTATTATAGTTTGTTTAATTTTAGTAAATTAAATTATAGAACTTAATTCAGTGCAAAAAGTTTATAAAAGATTAATTAAATAATAAAATTTATTAAAAAGCATTACAGCTATATTAAAATAATATTAAATCCTTATCTTTTGCTTCATTTATAAGAATACTTATATGTATATATTAAAAATAGGCACTATAATTAAAAAGTTGCAACTTGATAAGTTGTAACTTGAATTGCAACTCGATAAGTTGTAACTTGAGTTGCAACTCGATAAATTGCAACTCCTTGTAAATTTATTTTAATATAAAAATTAATAAAATGTTGCAACTCAAAGTGTTGCAACTTAAGTTGTAACTAGTTAAAAATTTTAAAAATAATTATAGGAACTATGAGAACCATCTTTAGTATATATACAATCCAAAGTATTTTGATATACTAGTAATTATTATTACAAAATATAATAATTATAAAATAAATAATATAAATAATAGTAGTAAGAGTAAAAAGTAAAAAAAAACTTTAATTCAATTCTAATTTATATAAAATTATTTAAAGTATTTTTTTTAAAAAAAAAATATTATATTGATGCTTTGCAATAGAAATGTCAGTAATTTTAATAAACTCAATTTTAAAATAATTGAATTTAAACATTTGATCATATGTAAACAGATTGATAATCCACAGCAATAAAAATAAATCAAAACTAAAAATAATCTTTATTATATATATTATTTTTAAATTTATTATTTAAATTTAAACATAATCTTTAATTAATAATATTACAATTTATTATTTTTTGTAATTTAAAGCTTATTATTTTTTAAATAGAATTTTATTTAACATTAAAGGAATAATAAAGAATCATTCTAATAGAATAATAAAAGAATTTGTTTTAAAAAAACAATTAAAAATTATTATTCTGATATAATAAAACATAGTTTTAAAAACAATAAAAAAATCATTTCAATAGAATAATAAATGTTATTTTAAAGAAATGATAAAAAATTTATTCTGATAGAATAATAAAAGATTATTCTAAAAGAATGATATATTGAATAATTTTTATATTATTTTTAATATTAGAAAAAATATATATATATATAATTATATTTTGATATATATATAAAAAATAAAAAAAAATATAATATTGTTATTTTTTTTTTTAAATTTTATATTTCCTTAAGATAAGAATTAAAGTTATTATCATTTATATTACAAAAAATGAAGTTATCTATTTTTAAAGCTGATCTTTTACTTAATCAATAAAATTGACTTGTACTATTTTTAAATACTAATATTATTTAGCATAACATTTTTTAAATTAGCATATCTTGATTTTTTATTATATAAATTGATCTTTATTTAATTAAAAAATATTGTTTATATCAAATTTACCCAAATCTAGCTAAATCTTATTTTTATTTTTAAAGTAATATTTGCTCTTTTTATTGTAAAATGCTTTATATAAAGATTTAAAACTTTTTTTAATTTTATTTAATCAATATAAAATAGGAAAAATTTTAAAGTATAAGTGTAATAAATAATAATTTTTCTTTGAATCAAAATAAAATTTAAATAAAACAAATATCTAAAATTCAACTAAAAAATTAATCAAATTAACAAAAAAAATAAAGATTTAAAAAGTAAAACTATTCTGTCACATATGTAAAATTTGCTAAAAAACTAGAAAATTTTTTCACTTGCTAAATTATTAAAATGCTAAAATTTTGTTAAAACTATATTAAAATATTATAAAAATTATACAAAACTATATCAAAATGCTGAAATGCCAAAACTATCATAGTAAATGATAAAACTGAAGAAATTATGATAAAACTATATTTAAATTTTTATTAAAATTTTGCTAAAACTAATTATAGAATATTGAAGAAATTTAAACAAGCATATTTAATCATATAGAATCATATAGGTATATTTCTAGTAAAATCAAGGTATAGATTATATGATTTACTATATTTTATAATTTAATTTTACTGGAAACATTTTCATATAGGAGGTTTGCTAAGAAAATGTGATTTTGAGAATTTTTTAATAAAATTTTAATTTTTATTACATTTTAATTTTAATAATATTAGATTAAAATACAATAAGAATTAAATTTTAATAAAAAAAATTCTCAAAATTTTATTTTTATAGTAAACCTCCCATATATTAAAAATTAATAAAATTAACCAAATATTTCTTTTAACATAATACTTTTACCATATTCATATCATCTATATTAATTAAATTTGCAACTATTTTAATAGCTATATTTATAATTTCTGTAAATTCATAAGTGATGATTTGTATTGATTTATAAAAGTTATTAATTTTTTTAATAAAATTTCATTACTTATAATTAATACTTTAATTTTAACTCTATCTTCAAAATATAATATGAAAGCTTTGCAGTAAAAAGAAAGGAAACTCTAAAAAAATTAAAATTTTACTTTATAAGCTAAATATAATTTTTTTTAGTTAGATTTAATATTATCTTAAAAAAATTTTTTTTTTCCTTTTTACTGCAAAGCTCCTATAGAATCCCAAAAAATATTAAAGTAAGTAAGATTCAGCCAAAAAAATTTTACTATTAGCTGTACACATTTTTTTAGAACTATAATTATGATAATTCTAGCTAGTTATTATAAAAAAAGATTTACATGATTATTTTACTTGTTTCAATGCATTCTCTTTTCTCACTTATTTCAGTATTGTTTGGGTCCTACTCCTATATTATTTTATTTAGTTTGTATTATTCAAATTAATCAATAATAATAATTTTAGTATAATATTCAAAAAATTTTAAGCATATATTAATAATCTCTTCAATAATTATATCAATAAACTAGTTAATAAAAATGCTTCTTATCTGACCTTTAATTCATATATATTAAGGTTCAATTATAACCTTTTTTAACTAAATAAGTCAATTTTATTACTAATTTAACAGTATTTAAAATATCTTAGATAAGCTACCTAGGTTAGATGCTCTTATTAT